ATTCAAGTAGAGTAGTCTTTTGGGAGCAGAAAATGTGAGCTGTTTAAGCAGTGTATGTTCCATGGATTTCGTGATGAAACGTTCCGGATTTCCAACAGGTTGCAGATTTTCATTAGCAGCTGCCTCCACTCCATACGGAATATCAAATTGCTGGACTGAGAGAATAAACAACAAGAAACTATGGCAACAAACCAACAGGTGAGAGCCAATCGCTCAACAAATATGTAGGAGAAAAAATAGAGATGGATTGATGGCGCATACATTGAGGAGGCTGTCGAATGACATCGCATGCCAGGCCTTCAAGTGGAATGCAAATGAGAAGTGACGAGTGGATCGTCCTATGGTGACATGAAGGAGATCGTGTGATTTTGGTCAACTGCGGATCCAGTCGAAGAGGACGGCAGAAAACAAAACAAAGTGGAGATGTTCAAGTGTTGGTTTGTAGGGATTTGATTGATGGGTTACAGGATTCCATCGTTAGCTGACATTGGTTAGAGAACCATTAGAAAACCTGGGAGTACTGGAGAGCTATTTCGTCCCGGTTTGGTTCTCTTCATCACTACGCACCCACGCGATCCACCTGCCCATGAATTCTAACTTCTGCGATTGGATCAGTTCCCAGTGGCCCACAAGCTCGCCTTCTTGTAACCAGAAGGTCCTGGTTTCAAAACCTGTCGGTGGTTGCGTACTGCCAAAGAGTCCCAAACAAGGACAAAACCGCTGTCCAGTACTCCCAGGTTTTCTAGTGGTTCTCTAACCAATGTCAGCTGATGATGAAATCCTGTGAAGTGGAGATGTGCTGTTGAAGCCCTATGTTCCACTCGGAATGCAAAGGAATGTTAATAAGTAATAATAATGCACTTTTCAATTGGTAATATCTGCTGAAATTTACTAACGTCAAAACTTGTTGCAACAGAAAGTAAATAGAAAACCATATATCGAGATTACCATCGCAAGCTGACGAAAGTTGGAATTCATGGGCTATTGGATTCCGTCTCAGTGGTTGGATGGGTAAGGAGCTTGACCTGTAACCTTAAAACCCTTGGTTCAATCCTCTGTAGGGTCACGGATGCATATTATTGATGAGTCCCAAACGAAGACGAAAAAACGATGAGTAATACTTGTTTTTTAGTGGTTCTGTAACTTATATCAATCCGGAATCAAACTTGAAACGAAATGCGTTAAACACCGAGTGTATCAATTTCGAAATTTGTAATATAAACAGTTTGAGTGGCTAAATTTGCAAATACTTAGGACATTTTATTTTGATTACTAATAATTGAATAACCAATTACTGTCATATTTTTTTCTTTTCAAGATGGTGTTATGGTATTCAGAGAATTTCTCCGTACTGAATTCAGTGATGAAAATATTCGCTTTTGGCTTATTTGTGAAGATTATCGTAATAAATCTGGATCAAAGAATATGCAACGGAAAGCCTTCAAAATATTCAATGAATATGTAGCTGTTCAAGCTGCTAGAGAAGTAAGTCGATTTCACATTCCATTTTTTAGAAATTTCAAATTGCTTATTACTGAACAGTGTATATTCCTGTTTAATTGAAGTGTATTCTCTCTGATAGATTATAAAACTATTAATATTATTGTTCCCTTGGGTTCCTAGTGGAACATAGGGCTTCAACTGCACGTCTCCACTTGCTTCTGTCTTCTGCTGTACTTTTCACCTACATCCATGTTAGTCCATACTGTTTCAACTCCTCTTCACACGATCTCCTCCATGTCACCCTTGGACGTCCCACTCGCCGCTTCCCTTTCGGGTTCCACTCGAGCTATGGCCTGACGCGCGATGTCACCCAGCGGCCTCCTCAGCCAGAGTGTCCAATCCATCTCCACTTTCTCCTGCATATTTGTTGGGCGATTGGTTCTTGTTTTGTTTGTTCCCATAGTTTCTTGTTGGTGATTCTTTCCGGCCATCTGATCTTCAGTATAGAGCGAAGACAGTTAGTGTTGATAAAGGTCTGCAACAGGCTGTTGGAAATATTCTTTGTGACACACTGGCCAAGTTTCTGATCCGTATAGAAGAACTGACTGACTTGACG